TACTTTTTCTTTACAATTTTTTTGTTTTTTCATAATACACTGTGACCAGAGTCGTATAATGCTACCATAGTAACATTGTACTACTTTGGGGAAGTGATCACTATTTTTTTTTTTTTTTTACACACTATGATTGCTTATAGCAAAGTATTTCTTTGCTTTAAACAAGCATTTACCTGAATTCATTCAGGTTTTTTGTTGTGATTAGTTGTGATTGGCCACGGCTAATCACATGACACAGATGGGCTGTGATTGGCCCAGTCTGTACATGGGGTCACTGTGACCAAACACAGCTAGTGACACAATTGTATACAATGTAAGACATGAAATTAGTCATCTATTGTTTAAAAGTTTCATGTGACCTGCTGTGATTGGTCACATGTCACTGGCAACAGGCTGGTACAGAGATCTGTCATTGGCTATGTCTGATGTACACAGCCAGTGACAGATCTCGCCACAGCGCAGCACCGCGGGCACATGTGAGGTGCGATCCGTGAAGGACATCATACGACGCCCCACCCGGATCGACCAGAGTCCCGCCTGGCCATCATTCTGCTATCGGCTGGGCAGGAACAGGTTAAAGAGTAACTCCACATTCGTGGGAAAAAAATAGCAAAGTAAAAAAAAAATATATAGCGCAGGCGGACTGACCATTTGGAAACTCAGGCACTGCCCGAGGCCCCTTGGTCAGTAGGGGGCCCCATGAGATGCCCCTGGTACCTTTTTCATAGGCATTTTTGAGCTTGGGCAAGGGCACAGGGGCCCCATGATCCCCTATTGCCTGGGGGCCCCATGAGTTGTCAGTCCGCCCCTGATATAGCGTATACAATTGTAACACAAGACATATTTGTAACTGAATGTTATTAAAAAATGACCTTTCCTTTTCCAACTACATCTCTGTAATTTTCTGTAAAACGCAAAGCAATATGGCTACCTGGATTTGTTCTGTACACAGAATGTGTACAGAGCAACCCCCAGAAACATAATTTCCTGCTTGTGTGATTGGCTCACTGATTTTCCAAGAAGTCTGAACTAAGATACAAGTCCAATTTCAGGTATCCCCTGCAACAAAAATTTAATTTTTGGTGAGATACTGCCGATGGGAAATCATGTCTAAAGGGATGCAGACCCTGACATTTTCCTCATTAGAGCCCTGCAAGTGCAGCAGCTGATTGATAATTATGAAACCACTCCTATTAGATTCAATTTCCACATGGACACAGACAAACAAACAGCTTTCTTAAGAATAACAAAAGGTATGACTCCACAATAATGGATTTGCTCTTTAAATGCTGCAATATTTAAAAAGTGCATAAAAAAATCATAATGTGTGGGCAGGGCTTAAGGCACTCTGAAGGCGAACTCTGAAAACTTTGCTTGCTAATGCCCAACTAAGCAGGTGGAGGCTGTGGTCATAAGTCTGCATTAAGGAGGCACTCCAACTTAGCAAACACAACTTTGTGGCACAAATAACTGTGTTCCATTCAGTTCACAGTGGTGTTACACTTGACTACTGTACTCAGACTTCCTTCCATGGAGCAGCATTTTCTGGGGGGACACTGCGGAGCCTGTATCCCACCCTCCAGACTAGCTTTGATGCCACCTCACTCTGACATACTTAGAACTTTGCATTAGCTTTACACACAGACTAGCTAGACTCTGTACTTCTGAGGATCCTCAATCCCATTCTTGGCTTGATACATAGCCTTGATGTCAGTCCCCGACTTGGGGCTCCAGTTGCTTGGGAGGGGGTTGCACTTAGAAACCCCCTCTCTACCAGAGCAGTCCATCATCCTTGCCTAGTCACAATGAACACTCGCCAGATGGCAGCTCTAGCACCGAACACTCCACTGGATACCCATGGCAATGGCCATCAGACCTTCCGCTTACGTGTTCACCACTTGTTAACCCTTGGTAGTGCTCATCCCCCTGATGTAAGCCCTGTTCTTTTACATGTCTTACAAGCACCCCTTTGGTAGGAACCTCAGACCAGGCATCTAGTAACTTTGGGAATGTTTACTTAAAGTATATGTAAACCCTCACCTTGTAAAACAACCCATACAGTTTCAATTAGAAATGAAAGGTTAAACATTGTGTATAGACTAAAAAAAAATTATAAATGCCTTTTTTTTCCCTAAGTAATCACATACCCTCTGTCCTCAGCGGCTCTGGGGGGCACTTGTGTATGCTCCCTCCTAAGCCACCTCTTTGTGTCTATAAAAACACACAGAGTGCGTCTCAGCCCCGCCCCCTGCTCCCTCCCCACTGGCTGTGATTGAAAACATTGGGAGCCATTGCCTCTCACTGCTGTATTTCAGCCATTGAGAAGGGGAGAGACCGAGGAAAACCACTGCTCTGCTATCATGCACATCGCTGGATTGGGATTGGACTCAGGTTAGTATTATGGGGGGCTAAGGGAGGAGCTGCACACTGAAGGTTTTTTACCTTCATTAATATAATGTTTTAAGGTAAAAAACCTTCAGCCTTTACAACCACTTTAATTGGTGGTAACCAAGCACAAAAAAAAAAATTAGCCTTGCCGTGGGACTGCCTGCACGGCAAAAGTTGAATGCTTGATAGTGTGTAGGGATGCAAGAATACGATTTAGTACTTGCCCCACTCGTCACTCCAGCAGGGTCCCTCCATGCTGTGGCACGGGTCTTATAATGTCTCCTAAGTGGGCTGTTAGGCTTCCAAGATCTGCTCTAAGGGTCATTTACACTATAGCCTTGCTCTAGCGTCTCTTAGCAAGGTGTGTTGGGGTGCCATTCAGGACGAATAGCAACACATCTCATCACACATTAAAATGCATTGCCATGTGGGACAATATAGCATGCAATAATGCAGCTGTTAGCCCAATGCAATGCCTAGCTGCTGATGAGAGCGAGACCTCCCTGGACAAAAGTAAGATTTCACTGCCTTCACAGGATCCATGAGGGACAAATAGAAGTGTGATCCTGTAGGATGGAAAACCCCTTTTCCCTGCTTTCATTTTAGCCTCTAACTACTTTAACTCCGCCCTATAGCAGGATTACTGCTACGGGGGGACTCTGCACAAAATCACATATATATATATATGTGATTTACACTTTCCCCGTGTTCGCGAGCTGGGGGTCCATTCCCCCCTGACCCGGCGGTGCCGTGATTTTGTATTCGACTGATCAATCAGCAGATTTTGGCCAATGATGTTTGGCCTGGATCTGCTAAACACAGGTACAGGAAATTATGCAATCTTCTCTCCCTGGGCACATTCTGTTCCAGAGAGAGAAGAAAACAGATCCATGTGAGTAAAAAACAGCACACATTTACAGTAAAAGCACAACTAGGTCACATTTAACCCCCTGATTGCCCCCCAGTTAACCCCTTAACTGTCATGTCACCAGTGTCATTAGTACAGTGCACAGATTTTTTTTTTTTTTTTACTGATCACTGTATTAGTGTCACCGGCGACTTCAGATAACATTTGCATCCCTTCCAGATAGCGTCAGATTGCCCACCACTACATCAGTCATCACATTTAACCCTTTGATTGCCAGGAACACGCTCATATACACAATAAACCTCCATTGCTAGTATAGTTTCTGAATGGATCAATATCTTTGATCAGATCAGAACTATACCGGCTATCAAAAAAAGTATAGTGTTCTCAAGAACAGAGCATTAGCAGGATCAGCCCTGCCACCACCTGCATTTAGCCCCTACACTTAACCCCCCTCCCTTCTCCCCCTCCCTGTAGATCACTGTTACTTGACACATTGCACACAAAACCACAGTGTTAGCAAAATCAGGCCTGATCTCTGCTAGCACTTGCAGGTCATTTTTTTTGTAATATAACCCAAAATCTGCGCTTGGAGAAAACAAATGAACAAAATATATATATAACTACTGGACACCGTACCGTGATACCAGGCACCTCATATACAATGTTCAAATAAAGTGCAGCACTCAAAACATCTCTAACGAAAATCATAATAATATCTGAAAAATTATAATGATCACAAAGTGTTCATAAATAATGTAATCATATGGTGAAATCAAAACAGATCAATCCCAAAACCGCGATGAGATCAGAAGACTTCCAAAGATAGCCAATGTGACACAATCCACTCACGTGCAAGGCTTACCAGAAGGCATGTGACCCATACTACAGTAAGAGTCGTCAATCTGCGTATATTGGGATATCATTGGTAACATCAAGAGAAATGCACAATACACCCAAATAAATGACTACTGATCCTCCAATAGCTCCAACCACTCCAAGGTAAGTTATTAGACAAAAACATGTAGCATTACATGTAATGAAAGATTTGTCCACATAGTGTAAAACCATCAAAGATCCAAAATGTATTAAATTGTATTTACTCACATGGTAAAAGGCACAAGTCAACATGCACAAACATTAAAACAGTACTTTCCAGCATCCAAGATGGCCGCTGGCAAGTTGCGCATCCGTGGTAGCGAGTGTGTGCAGCTCCACCCTAAGCATTTTGCCATAAGCGACATCATCGGGGGCCCCTGATCTGGCCTCTTAGTAGGGGTCACATGCCTTCTGGTAAGCCTTGCATGTGAGTGTATGGTGTCACATTGGCTATCTCTGGAAGTCTTCTGATCTCATCACGGTTTTAGGTAAATGTTTTTGTAGTGGTTCAAGCAGTCCCTGACAGCCAGGTGCTCTTTTTCCCGTCGCACTAGGTACCTATAAATTTAGTGGCCAAAATGTCCAATGAAAGGTACTCTAGTGAAAAGGCCTACAGGATTCTGACCATGTCAAACGAGAGCGAAGGGGAAGCCTACCTGAGAGAATCAGGCTCAGAATACGAACCTGTAGACAGCAGCAGCACCCTGACAGATAGCTCAGACGATGGAGTAGATGTCCCTGCCAAGGTCAGGTGTACCTGACCCCATTCATATGAGCCCAAAATTAGAAGTGGGTGGATGCAGGGCGGTATATTTTAGTGGTGGGCATACCACACTTTTTCTGGCAGAGATTTCTTCTCTTTTTTTCATTCAGCCCACAGGCTGCATTAAAAAAAAAAAAGAACATAGCATATACACCCAACAAGGACCATCAACGTACTGGTACATCTCTGGACTTTCAGTAGTTAAAGCAGGATGATGCCTATAGCTGTAGGCATCATCCTGGTATCGTTTTTTTTATCATTGCTCTTTCATGTAAAAGCAAACCTAGTGGCTAATTAGGTGCAGGATTGCTTTTTTTACAAGAGGCAGGTAATGATACCCGCAGCCCAGCCCCCCTCCCCCCACTGCCTTCCATGGCTTTCTTGGGCAGTCCCGTGCCAACGGGGGAACCTGAGAATGCAGCTGGTGTTTCTGCCAGCTGACCATAGAGCTGATTAGAGACCGGAATTATGCCAATCATCTCTATAGTCTAAGAAATCGGAAGCTGTGAGCGTTTCATCACTTCAGTTTTGCAGGATATAAACAGCTCCATTTTTAAATTGGGAATGCATCTGATCACACCGATCTTGGTGAGATCAGATGATGTAAGGGCAGAGGAGATATCTAGAGTCTAAGAGACCCCAGATTTGTCAGAAAAGAATAACGGTCAATGCCTATTGCAGTCACAGGGGATATTTACATTCCCTGTGATAACAATAAGTCATCAAAAAAAACAAAACAAAAGCACCCTTGCACCCCCCCCCCCCCACCGGTGTGCACAAGCGTTGACCCAGTGGCGGTACGTAAGCAGCGGTTGCACCATGCATGTGAGGTATCGTCACGAACATCAGATCGAGGGCAGTAATTCTAGCACTAGACCTCCTGTGTATATCTAAAATTGTAGCCTCTAAAGGCTTTTAAAATGTCACCTATGCATAATAAAAATGTATACAGTTTGTTGCCTATGCACAGGGCATGCACAGTTTTAAAGCATGTCATGTTTGGTGTCTATTTACTTGGCATACCATCATCTTTTATATTTTACCAAACAATTCGCCAATATAGTGTGTTTTTGTGCATTAAAAGTAAAAAAAAGTTTATTTTTTAAAAAGAAATTGCGTTTTAAAAATCACTGTGTGAGTAATATGTGACATAAAAAATTGCAGCACCCACCATTTTATTCACTAGGGCATCTGCTTTACAAAAATATATAATGTTTGGGGGTTCAAAGTAATTTCCTTGCAAAAAAAATACTGATTTTTTTCATGTGAACAAAAAGTGTCAGAAAAGGATTGGTCTTCAAGTGGTTAGAAGGGTGAGCGATGTGTGGCATAAATTTCTAATGCTGGCATAAAATGCCCCCCCTCACAAAAATTACCCCTTTTTGGAAAGAAGACACCCCAAACTATTTGCTGAGAGGCATGTTGAGTCAATAGAAGAATTTATTTTTTATATTGCTCACACATGCCATGGATATATGTGGAATTACCACCCTAAATGCATTCCGCTACTTCTCACAAGTATTGGAATACTACATGTGAAAGACTTTTGGCAGTCCAGCCACGTACAGGACCCCAAAACCCAATAGGCACCTTCAGGCTTTTAAAGGGCTTTATTTCCTCACTAAAATTTCTGACTACCTATCACAGTTTCGAAGGCCCTGAAATGCCAGAATAGTAAGAAAAAAACCAAAAAAAAAACAAAATAAATCCTTTTTGAAAAGTAGACAGCCCATGGAATTTGATAAGAAGCATGGTGAGTATTTTGCAGATCTTGTTTGTTGCCACAAGTTTTTGAAAATAAAGAAAAAAAAACCTAAAACATATTTATTCTTTTCTTTTTTTATATTTCAAAACCTTGTGAGAAAAAAAGAGATCTGCAAAATACTCAACATGCCTCTTTTTAAATTCCTTGCGGTGTCTACTTTCCAAAAAGGGGTCATTGGGGTTGTGCTATCCTTGCATTTTAGGTCCTCCAAAACTGTGATAGGCATCGAAGTGAAATGAGGAAGTTACTTACCTTTAGGCTTTTCAAAGTGGTAATTGGATTTCGGGCTTCTGTATGTGGCTAGGCTCCCAAAAAGTCTCACACATGTGGAAAAAAATAAAGTATTCCATTGACTCATAGCCTGGGGTGTCTACTTTCCAAAAAGGGGTCATTTGTGGGGGGATTGTGTTATCCTGGAATTTCAGAGCCTCTGAAACTGTGATAGGTAGTGAGGAAGTGAAATGAGGAATTTACCCATCATCAGGCTTTCAAAAGGGTCATTGGATTTTGGGCTCCTGTATGTGGCTATGCTCCCAAAAAGTCTCACATGTGGTTTCCCCATTCTCAGGAGAAGTAGCAGAATATATTTTGGGGTGTCATTCCAAATATACCCATGACATGTATGAGAAATATACGATTTAAATGACAACACTGTGTAAAAAAAAATAAATTGTCATTTTCCAAAAACTTGTGGGAAAAATTAAATCTTCCATGGACTCAACATGCTTCTCAGCAGATGGCTTGGGGTGTCTATTGTCCAAAAAGGGGTCATTTGTGTTTTTTTGTAATGCCCTGGTATTTTAGCGCCTCAAGAAATGTGATAGGCAGTCATAAAGTAAAAGCTGTGTAAATTCTAGTATCTATACCATAGTTTGTAGACGCCATAACTTTCACACAAATAGTTTAATATGCAGTTACTGGGATTTTTTTTTACTAAAGACATGTAGCAAAATACATTTTGGCCTAAATTTATGATGAAATTTTAGTTTATTGGGTATTTTTAATGACAGAAATGAGAAAATATATTTTTATTTAAAAATGTTCGGTCTTTTTATGTTTATAGCGCAAAAAAAAATAAAACCCAGTGGTAATCAAATACCACCAAAAGAAAGCTCTATTTGTGTGAAAAAGGGACATAGGTTTGTTTGGATACAGCATTGCATGACCACGCAATTACCAGTTGAAATAGCACAGCTCTGTAATGCAAGAAATGGCCTGGTCAGAAAGGGGGGTAAATCCTCTGGAGGGCAAGTGGTTAAAGTATAACTAAAGGTAATATTTTTTTTAGTTTTTTTGGAGTGTGAGAGAAATGAAAAACATGTCAGGTTTCTTGTGTTGTCTGTTTTGTTTACCATTATCAACAAAAGTAAAAGTGAAATAAAACCCCAAATTTCTGGTTGTCACCAAAACAGGATTACTTGAGAAAATCTCTAATGGAGACACTAGTTCTGGTGAGCCTGGTGACAACACTGTAGAGGGATTTTCACTCACTTGTTGGCTATAGCAAAGGAAAGGAGGGCAACAATATAGTTCTCATTAAAACAAGCAAATTGAAAATTAGCACAGTCTTTAGTTCCAGCCACCTGTTGAGTAGCAGGATATGAACATGACAGCCTGCCATAGTTGCTACGGGTGATGGTGACATCACAGTTCTCACTAAAATGAGCAGGTTGAGGATTAGCACATTCTACAATTTCAGCCACCTGTTGAACAGCAGGAAGATATTCGGCTTTCACAAAAATGCATGGGCCTGGCATGGTATACGTGGCAAAAATATACAGTTCAGAAAACAGGTAGCACAATACAATGACTGCGCTTTGGCTCGTTTGTCTAGGGTTATTGCAGATTCCCACCGATTCCTTAAAGGGGGATTGCTATGGGCAACTGCTGTGCAGGTTAAGGAAATCCCATATGAGAATACCCACATGTAGTACTTGCCCCCCTGAGAGCCGCTGGCTTTGGGTCCCTCTTTACTTCCTGCACAGCCAAGCAACACGCATTTTAAACTTGCATCCAGAAACAAACAGTTCATGGGCTTGGTTTTTTAGATTTATTAGGGAACTTAACTTGGAAAAGGTAACGGGGTTATGGGATGCCAAATTTAAATACAAAATAACGATTTGAGGAACTTTCTTCTCTAAAAAATGCTACAACAATGGCTGATGAATGATAGTGGTCCAGCCAGAACCCTGACAGTCCTTTTAGTGAAGTACAGCAACATGCTGGAACTCTGAGTCCCCTTAAATTGATTTTTAGCAAAGTCCCAACTTGTAGGAGCTCTATGTCCCATAAATGTTCAAAATACCAGCCCACTTGGCCATGGTATCTGATCCCAGGACAAGGGATTGGTAAGCTATGAACTGTCCCCTTGAAGACTTGCCAGAGCTTGCATCCAGCAGACTTCTCCCTTCTAGGCCCGGGGGTGTAGAGGCACTCACATTGTTTTTGTCCTTCAGCTATGGATAGAACTGCTTTCAGGCCTCTGTAGCTGGGCTGGTTCCTCTTCAAGCTTCCAGGCTGCCCTTCCGGTGGACTGGGTGGACTGCAGGGCAGTGGAGCTCCCTCCTTCAGTTTTCCTCCTCCATCTTCCAGCCTGGAAGCAAGACCCCTCTTCTCCAGGGCCCCCTCCCAGGCTACAAAGCAGCACCTCATCTTCCACCCTACTGCCCTTCTGGCCAGGCTCTGCCATATTTATGGGCTGATCTGCCACACTGCCAGGCCTACTGCCTGATGTTGGTCAGACTCCCATAAATATGCAGATCAGCCCCTCCTCACCTCTGTCTGCTGACTTCTAGAAGCTTTTCCAATCTTCTAGAGCAGGGGTAGGTACCAGAGGACTGACCTGTAGAGCCCTCCAGCCCTGCTCTGAAGTAAACCCTCTAACATAACCCAGACTTCATGCAAACATCTAACTACTCTCAGCAAATTATGTACACCAGACAGAGCTACACAAGCATTATAAATTCTGGCGTTTGCATGGATGCAGAGAAGAGAAGACTGAAGATAGACAGGTACAACGTATGAGTATTTGTTTCTTCTCTGTGTATCACCTGAAACCAGTCACTTCATTGGGAAGAGGTAAGATTTTACAACCCTATATTGCTCAAGTTAGTATATTCTTCAGTATATCTGAAGCAGCTTTCTATACTTCTGTGCCTCATCCATGGGAGGCTAGGGTGTCCCACCCAAGAAATATATCATCTTTCATCCTCCCATAATCATGAGCAGCAACCACAGGGATGTACAAAATAAGTCATACATTTTATGAATCTGAGTTACTCAATTTATAAATCTGTTTTCCCTGAAGAATACAGACATTTCACAACTTACACCTGTAAGGCCTCATTCACATGGGCATACTCTAGCGTAAAAAATGCACTACAGTTAAAAACCATGAATGAGTATGCTGGACGTTTATGGAGCAATGTATACTCTGCTGACATGATAACAAATATTTCTTCTGGTTTACTGGACCCTGATCTCTTTGACCACAAATAACAGGCATCTCTTGAAGGAAATAGCACAATGACAGCAAGATAAAGTTTTCTGATAAACAGAGATGTCCTTTTATTCCTTAACTGCAGAGATACGCATGACCTGCTCCTTCCTGACGTAGAAAATTATGGATTGCAGTGCTGCCTTCAGAATATGAAGAAACTCATTTCCAGTATGTTGCACCTTTACCCTGGACATCTGCCAGCTCAGGGAGATTTGTCAGTGCCAGGAGCAAATTATTATCAATATTACT